GTTTGAAATTCTGTTTTGGTTTTAAAGAGAAAGAAAAAATTTCCAAATGATTATTTTTTTCTTGATATTTTTTCTTCCAGTGTTTTGTTTTGAGCTTCTTGGTAGACAAATCATTTTACTAGTGGGAATAAAGTGCTGAACCAAACAAATAGCCACACTGAGTCTGCATTTTAGTATGAAAATAATAACTGTTTATACATAATTATATACAGAGCAAAAAGTGCTACCAAAAGGGTCTAGAAAAGGAGAATATGAGAAAGCTTATCTGAGAAATGGATATGGAGACAAACTTTAAAGGACAAAATTTAGTAATGAAGAATATACTAGGGTTACTTTTTCAAGAAAAGAAAAAAAACAAGCATGTATGAATACTTATTTAAATGATAAAAGGAAATACTACATTTGGGAAATGGAAAGACCACTGGTTTGGTAGAACCCAAAAGATGAAGAGGAGAGTGCCTCAGGCACTAGTATCCAAGGATCACATCATTCAAGACTTAAGGGCCATGTAAATAATTTTAAGTATTTTTCTGAACAAGGAGAAGTCCCTGAATGTATTTAAGCAAGATGGGATCCTTAATAGAATAAGATATATTCCATGTTTATATAACCATATCAAAATGGATTTTGCTGTCATGTATAACTAAAAAGAACCAATAAATAAATAAGAAAAGGAGAGATGTTATGGAATTAGTTTGGCTTCAATATGAAGACTGACTGGGGAAGAAACAAGAATGGATGCAATGTGGCTTCCTGGTTGGGAGGCCATTTGTCATGGTTAGGCAAGAGATGATGGTGGCTTAGGGTAGGAGAGAAAATATATAAGAAACAGATACTTACCAGGGAGAAGTTTAAAAGTGCATTGACTAAATGGATGCAGTATGTAAGAATAAATGTATCAGGGATGACTTTGGGGACTGTCATTGGAAAACTACACAAGTAATGGTAGCATTCATTCACTGTGATAAGAAACACAGAAGAAAGAGAACCAATGATATATTTATTATATATGAAAGATCAGAAGAATAATATATGTTTAGAGCTAAGATGTTGAATTTCAATGGATAACATATCCATTGTTATCATATGTGGATGGCTGTTTAAACCACGTGAGGGTGAATTGAGGAAAAAAGGCTAAAATTTGACCTTTATCCTCTAAGGTTTTATGCCAACAATAGTTACATTTTAGATATATAAAAAGAAAGGTGCAATAAAATCTGATAAACACTGACCAGAACCATAGAAGAAAAACCTAAAAGGGAAGCCAAGGGGGACTAAAAAAAAAAAAAAAGAGAGAGAGAGAGAGAGAGAGAGAGAGAGAGAGAGAGAGAGAGAGAGATCGCTGACATTTTATTAGAGAGACATTTTTACAAGAGAGGCAAATATAATTATTGAAAATCACATGTAAGCAAAGCATTAACCCATACAGAAAAATAAATATTTAAAGTTATGAAATATAGTTGAAACAACCTCTGTGTAAAAATTTGAATTCCCGAAATAAACAAGATATTTTATAAACAAGATGTTTTATAGAAAAACACAATTTAACAAAATAAAATTTTGATAAGAACAGCATTTTAAAAGACCAATTTTCATAAAACAAATAGAAAATTTGTCAAGTGCCTGTCACTAAAAATTATTGGCCTAAGATATTTTTTCAAAGAAATTTTTTGTAAAACAAAAAAAGAAGTAATTCCCATTCTACTTAAACTGATGTAGAACATGAAAAAAAAAATGAAACTTCAAAGTTCTAGCAAATGAAAATATCATTGGCATTAAAACTTATAAAGAATTGCACTAAAAGGAAGAACCTCAGAGATTAAATTTCTTATGTGAATATTAATATTTCCACATAAAATATTTACTAACAGAATAGAGAGAACTATATTATGCTTGTTGTGCTCTTTATTCTTCTAATGTAAGCATGATTCAACACTAGGAAACTAGATCAAAGAATATAATATTTGCCAGGTGTGGTGGGGCATGCTTGTAATCCCAGAAACTCAGGAGGCTGAGGCAGGAGGATCTTGAGTTCAAAGTCAGCTTCAGCAAAAGTAAGGCACTAAACAACTCAGTGAGACCCTGTCTCTAAATAAAATACAAAATAGGGCTAGGGGTGTGGCTCAGTGGTTGAGTATCCCTGACTTAAATCTCCTGGTACAAAAAAAAAAAAAATCTAAGAAGACTAATTATTATCATCACCATAGATCCTAAAAAAGCCTTTAGTACACTTAAATATCTTCTTTGGTGTAGAGTAATTGATAAGTTAGGGATAAGTATATACTTATTTAAAATGGCAAATATTTCTATTGTACTTTAAAAGACTGAAAAATATCCAAGACCCACTGTGATGCATTTATAGTAAACAGAGTCTTTTGAAGTAAGGAACTACAACAACAAAAATCCACTGACATCATTATTATTTAAGAAGTTTATAACCAACACAATCAAAAACTTTCAAGAAAAGAGTTATAAACTTTTAAAGTAGTTCTTAAAACAATCCCTTTTTAAAAAAGATCTGACTCAGGAATAATATATTGGCAGGAATTTCAATATACTTTGCAAGATTACTATAATAAATAAGAGAACTCAGTAACCAGTATAAAATAATTAGGATAATTAAAACAAATGTTTTCATGTGTGCAAACAGCTTGTTAGAGGATATGAAAGAATAAAAGATAAAATTTCTGGTAGCAATAAAACTAATTACTAAGCAGCAGCAAGAAATGAAGAAAAAATTACTATACTTCTGACAAAAGATATCTGAAGTAATAGTGCAGTTTGATAGAAAGATTCAGCAACAAAAAGATATCAATTTTCTGTTAATTTATACAATTAAGATGATCTTAATTTAAAAATTCAACTATTTTTAAAAATATAATGCTAATTCTAAATTTGGTATTATAAAAAAGTACAGCAATATTATGTGATTGGCATTCTGTTTTTTTTTTTTTTTTTGAGGGACTGGTACTTTATTTCAAAAAGACAGTTGTCAAGATTCAATATCAAAGCAGTTGCACTATTGGTTTCTCTTTCTCCCAACTGGCCCCAGAGAGACCACAACAAAGCAGAGTACATTTTAAGCCAATAGCTGCAGGATAATAGACTTCACAGAAACCTCACCTAAAAGTGAGGATTGGTTGGCAAAGAAACTTTCAAAGATCAGCACACAGCCAGCCTAGATTGTAGGACCCTCACAGCAAGACATGAGATGGGGTGACCAGGTACCCAACCCCAAAGACGCAAAGTTTCAAATTAATATAAAATTTAAAAAGTTCTGTACATAAGCTATTCAAGATTCTCCAGCACTGACACAAAGCACAGTGAGATGGCACTTTTAGATACAGCAGCTTTAGACCCAGAAAAGGGTGATGAGATGAGTTTCATATGGCTAAATCTGTGGCAAAAACAATTTTTTTTCTTTTTCTTTTTTTTCAAGGAGGCAGGAGAGCAATTAAGTGGTCACTCAAGATTAAGGGTCCCATGATCCATTCTGTGAACACTTGGGAAGTGGGTACAGATGGGAGAAAAATTAGTTCTCAGGGTTAAGGATATGGCTCAATGGTAGACTATTTACTGAACATGCATGAGGCCCTGGGTTCAATTCCCAGCACCACAAAAACAAAAAGTCTAGGAGGTCGTACCATGTTAATTTGGTCATTTCTGATGAAAAAAAGTAAAAAAAAAATAATAAAGTTGTCTAAAGATACCTTAAAGTTAAAAACAAAACAAAACCTAAATAACACAGGGTTTGTTTCTTGACTAACTCCTCTCTGGTTTGGCTGGTACTTTGCAGAGCTATGAGGTTTCCCATAATAGAGTCTTTCCCTGGGCTCTGCTTGGCTCTCAGTAAGGCAGGCTCATTCCTCTTTTCCTCCTTTTCAGAGAGGGGAATAGGGTTTAGGCTGGAAAGTTACCTTCCAAAAGTGAGAAAGGAATTAGATTGCTGTTTCAGAGCTATGAAATTATTTGGAATGTTTTACAAATGGTTCCTGTAACAACAAAAATGTAATTACAAAATGTGTACATCACAACATGCTTTAAAAGAAATTTTTCTTTTTTACCCACATTCCCTTAAATGTTGTTCCCAAAGGTGCTCAGCCTCTAGCCCAGTTGGAATCTGTGGGAGGAGACAGAGACAATTTGGTGAAAAAGACAAGGGGGTGGGAAAAAAGACAAGGTGTTGAAAGGAGAAAGCAGCCTTTCAATTAAAAATCAGTCCTAAGCTTTGGACTGGTTACCCTCAGGCAGAGTCAAGGTCAGAAAGAGGAGCAGCAGCAGGGCAGGACTGGGGAGCTCTATATCTCATTCAGTTCAAGCAGAGGCTGGTCCAGCATCCTTTGTGTTCAGAGGTGCTCGTCTTTGGAGCACTTCAGCTTATCTTCCAAATCATCAAAAATGTAAATCTCAGATGGCACAGGAATATGCAGTCTAATAGAATAGATAGAAATTTCAAAAATCAGTGTCAATTATACTTAAAGTTAGCATGCGATTGTCATCTCATACAAGTATGGATAAAATGACCTATTAAATCAATGTTATTGGTATAAAAATAGGGTGTCACATACATAACAGGATAAACATCAAACAGTTCTTAGATGTAAGTGTAGAGAAAAGAGTCCATCAAAACTACTGGATGTGGAGCATAGTGGTGGTAGGGAACAAGAGAATTTATAATCTCAGTGTGCAAAGGCCAGTCTATGACTCAAAATTCAGAATCCATCAAAACAACAACAAACACTTGCTACTTGGCAAAAACTACCACACTGTACATCAAGGAATAAGCAATAAACTTGGAAAAATACATGCAAGTCATATCATAGCATATTTCTCTATCTTATAAAGAATTCTAACAAATCAGAATAAAATAATAAACAGAAAATTGGGCAAAAGATAGGAATAAAGTTTTATGACAAAATTAAAATTTTGCAAATGGTTCTTACATCCATGAAAGTGCAGTGATTTCACTCACAATGATAGCAAGGTACTTTAAACAGAGGGTGCTCTTTGTGGCAGCACATACAACAAAAACTGATGTTATGCAGATAAGATTAGCATGGCCCCTGAGCAAAGATGATGTACAAATTCACAAAGTTCCATGTTAAAACAACACAATCAAAACTGAGATACTGTTTTCAGCATCATCTTGGCAGAAACCCAAGAAATTTAAAGCACCTTTGGCAAGTCTTTGGGTAGGAGAAGCCACATCATTCAATGCTAATGATAGTATAAATTGTTATAATCTCTAGGAAGAGCAATTTTGAAGTTTATTTCAAAATTTATAAGGTATATAAATTTTGAGCAATCAATTCCACCTCCAGGAATGGATCATATGTATATGCATGTATGTACACATATATTTACATGTATATATGTTCACAAAATAGAAAACATATTTATAAGATTATTCATTGTGACATATTGTAATAGCAAGTTTAGAAACAAATTTAATCATCAATAAGGAACTCTTTATGTTATTTTCAAACAATAGAATATGCACTGTGTGTTGATGTGGGAAGATCTTCAAGATACATTTCTAAGTAAAAAGCACAGGCAGAGAGTGTATACAGAACTCTATCATTGAAGGAAAACATGGGGAAATTGTTTATATTTGTTTTCATAGACATAAAAACTTCTCTGAGGAGATTGAAAATAAACAAATTTTCAAGGAGCAGGGACTGGGGAAGACATGGGGAGATATGGGTTAGAGGATACAAAGTAGCAATTAGGTGGAATGAAAACAAACCTAGAGATCTAATGTACAACATGAGGACTATAGTCATAATACAATACTACACTGTATTTTATTAATTGAGCAAACATTATTTGCTCTTGACACACACATTGAAAAAAAAATGATCTCATGTATATCCACATGAGATCATGGCTTTACTATAGGAACCATACAAGGAATACATCTATACATGTATCCCATAACATTATATTGTATGCTTTAAATATATACAAGAAAATTTATTTTTGAAAAACCTTTCTAAAGCTGGGAGTGGTGTGCAAGCTATAGTCCCAACTACTGCGAGGCTGAAATGGGAGGATCATTTAAGACTAGGAGTTCAAGGCTAGTGTGGGCAATGTAATGAGACCCCATCTCATAGACAAACAAACAAACAAACAAAAATAAAAAATAAAAAAAAACAAACCCACAAAAAGACTAAACAACAAATAACTACAACAAACCATTCTGGAAAGACGATACAAAATTTTAACAGTAATATCTGAGAAATAGGGTAGAAGGGAGATTCAATGTTTGAAACTTGTGCATTTTATGTAAAAATTCATTTAAAGAAGACTGTTAGGAAATAGAATGGAAAATATTTTCTTGTGTTGGATGAGGAGAACATTCCTCAGTTTGAATATTAATTATCCTAAAAATGCAGATGCACAATAATTTGTACCAAAGGAAGGTGATGATTGCCCACGTTTTGATGGGCTTGCCACTGTTTACAGATGAAGAAGATTGCAAAGCCTCAACCTGAAGACACTTACAAGACCATAATATCACCTATCATAGCTGAAATTAAAAATAGGTTAGTTATTCAATGTGTCTTCTTAGACCTGGTCCAGTGGTGTGGCAGTATGTACATCCATTTTTGTCAACTGTGGTCTAGGTTTAAGGCACCCTATTGTCACAGGTGTAAGGACTCAGCAGTGAACTCTGCTCTCTAGGAGCTTCTATTCTGCAATGGTAAATAAGCCATGCATGTGAATACTTATTGAGTCAGAAAATGCAAATATTTGTAGGAGGGGTAAAGTGCTCTTGCATTTTAGAGGAGCCAGAAATGACTTCCAGCTGGAGAACAGGAAAGGGAAAATTGAAAGAGGCCCAGCATTTGAGCAAAAGTAGAATGCCAAAAAGGAAAGAAATATCTTTTCAAACACCAGTTCAGGTGGAAAGCTCAGTGGGAAGTTGAAAGAGAAAAAGAGGACAAGAAGAGGGAAGAACCAATCACTTAGCATGGCTTAAATATATTAGAAAAGTGAAATGGTTGGGCCCAGATTATAGGGCACTAAGTAAAGTCTAAATAGTTTCAGTCCATGAAATTGGGAAGCTTCTGGAAGTTCATGAAAATTAGGATAGCAGCACCCAAATAATCCCTTAGCAAGCCTGACGTGGCTACAGGTTTGTAGGGTGGGTTGGAGAAAAGGGTTGACCATGGGAAAAAAGAGAATTAAGTAAGAGGCTATTGAAGAAATACAAGTGTAACATGATTAGAATTGTAACATCAAAACCACAAGTGGGTTTGGAAATATGGCTCAGTGGAATAGAGTGCACTCTTAGCAAGAACGAGGCCCTGCCTTCAATCCCAGCACCAACGAACAGAACCAACGAACAGTGCAAGGTGCAAGGGAACAGATAAGAAGCACTATGTGAGGAAATGGTAGAGGATTAATAAATACCTGTTTTATGAATAAGTAATTTAATGAATAAATAAATGAACAAATGAGCCCAGACAGGAAATAAATGAAGACCTAATACCCCCCCTCCCCCTGTTTCTGAGGATGCAAAGTAGTAAAGTTGCATTGTAGTCAGGATTTTTTTTAAATTAAAAAAATTGTTATCAAGTTGTGATCAAGCCTGTATCCAGTTCTGCTTCAAGATTTTCCTCTCTGGTCCTTTGTCCTTGGAGGAAAGGCCAAACCAACAGCTTGTTACAATATAAAGAGGAAGGGGAAAATCTTACCTTTCCTGTTGAATAGTCTGCCAGAAAGATTCTGAGAGCCAATTTTTTTTTTTTTAAATTCTCTGATCAATGGGACAACATTAAAGTGCTGTATCTTTAAAGGTGTACCACAGTGGGTTCTCAGTTACCCTAGAAGGGATTGGGGTTAGTTGGTGAATAGTTATAAATTAGACAAAGTCAGGAAACAAGAGAGGAGGATAAAGGACACTTAGTTTCTTAGTTACTAGAGAATACAATCATGGATGCTCTTTCAATATGGAAAGGAAAATTGAGATGTCTAAGGGAGGAAGAAGGGAAAGAAGGATGTGAAAAAAGGAAGGAAACAAGAAAGAGAGAAAGGGAGAGAGATGGAAGGAAGGAAGAGGTAGAAGAGAAGGGAGGGAGGAAACAAGTGGAATGAAGAAAAGATACAAGGAGGGAAGAGAAAAGAAGAAATGAAAAAGAGGAAAGAGGAAAAGAAACTAAACATTTTTGAAACTTTTCTGCCATAAGACTTACATGTATTTACCTTAACAAATAAAGTCCGGTACTATGTGCTTTAATTTTATAGATGAATTATCTGTATTACTATTGTATCTCTGAAGATTTAGGAAGCCAATCCTTTGGCTGAAAGTCAATGTGAAATAAAATAGTTTATGACAAGGAAATGTAATCATTGCAAGATGACAGGCGGTGGGAAGAGACTGAGATAGGACAGTTTCTGTTTCCTTTTTATTTTAACTGATAATGCTGAGCAGGCCTCACTTTTAGTAGACGTTGTCAGCTTCAGTTTCTATGGAAATTTTAAGCTGCTGTCATGGGACAGTCATTGATGCCATGGGAACAACATCCTCAATAATGTCAGGCTTCTTCTTTAAAGGAGCAATTTGCTTTTTTTTTCCTCCTGGAATGTGATATACCCACTGACAATTTTGAAATCCCTTCCTGTATGAACACCACATGAATTGTCTGTGCTACAGTCCTTCTCAAAACTGCTGTAAATAGAATTATATGCTCAAATAATAATCTTTCAATTAACAGTATAAAGAGAAAAGAAAATAATATGATAATTAATATGAGGCACAGACTGTCTTCATCTAAATTGTCATGAGAATCACATCTAATGTTTGATGTCTTACTGTTGTGGGCTATTTCTTCCATTAAATATACGGCACACCCTAGCTGAGTAGAGGAACTCTTGTTCCTGCTCTGTATTTTGCCACATCTGTCAAGTCACTCCACACCAGAGTCCATATTCCATGGTGCTGAGAATAAGCTGCTTGCAGCTGGCCATGGCTGGGAGGATGCAAATGATGTATGAAGAAGGATAGGGTGGGATAGTTGTTGTGTAACTTCAACTAATACATGTTGCCTACTGAGTAAATATTATTGTTTATTCTGAGCAAACATTTTGAATCCTTTCATAAAGTATTGAGTCTGTATATATAAGCATGGTTAATATGAAGGCTGGTTCAGCCCTTGGAAAGCTCAAAGTTGATTCTGTGATAGTACAAAGAATCCTGGGGTTTTTATAGTGAACGTCTCATGGATATCCTAGTCCATAAATGTCCTTTAAAAAAAAAAGTCTGGAGGATTGCATGTAGTAATTACCAAGGTAAGTATGGTCCAATCTCTTTTTCCAGGTCTCCAGATATCTCCATTTTTCTTGGGGAGGCTTTTTGTAGCAATATGTTAGAAATAGGAGAGCTAGAATATGTGTTTTTGGACATTTTATGGCAAAGCAATGCTTTAATCTAGATGGTAAATTTACTTTGGGTGTTTTTTTTTTATTTTGGAGGGGGGCATGGGATGTGGTGGGCAGTGTGGACAGAAAGGAGATGATAGAAAATGAAGATATTCAAGCTGTCCCTTAGCATGTCAACTGCCTCTTTATACTGTTACTCTCTCATTTTATAAAGGCCAATCTTAGCTCCATTGAGCCATTTGATCTGATTTGTGTTTTAGATGGGGTCTTCTTCTTGAACTTGGTTTTGATATTCTTGCATCAGTTTCCTTAGTAGCTGGGTAAATTATAGGTGAATGCTTCAGTGCCAGCTCTCCATTTGATCTGATGTATAATAATTAAAAATAAGGTGTGTATTACTAAATTTTTCTCAGATATGATGCAAATGAAACAAGGTTAAGTTAAATTAATCCATCAATAACCTAATGAGACTTTTAATGTTTTACTCTTTGAGTCCAGTGGGGACTCTATGCCCACTTCATACTGATTTGTGGTTATTTTGGTGCCTTCATGTTCCAAGAATTCTATTCCTGTCAGACGAATTGCCATGATTCTGTTTTTCAATGTGAAGAAGCTCAAGGGGAGAGTACACCTTTGAGTAGTTTGTTAAAGCGTAGCAGTCTCTTCCATTATCCTATTTGTATGGGAGACTGAGCTACAAAGGTGAGTGCACCATGATGTCA